TGGTAGCCGAAGTGGTTAAAGCGTCCGCCTAGGATTCGGAAGTCGCGGGTTCGAACCTCGGCTGATTAATACCAAATACTTATTAAATTGGTACTAACAGAGTTTGCGTACTGATGCATCAATACTCCCATATTTGGGCGTAGTCTGTCAAAGGTCACGCTGACCTTGTCAATTATAGCATTGGTTTCGTCATCGATGTAGATAAAACAGCTTACTGCAGCAATCTGTGGATTTGCGAAAGAGTTTGGCCATTTACTGTGATGGTAGGCAGGGGGTAAGTCTTTCCTGGTGCAGTTTTGTTCTGTCTTCTTAATACTGCTTGTAAGACCGAAAATCCGAATTGTCACAGACAGAAGACAAATGATGAATAATCTATTATTGCATGTCAGACTCAGATTTTGCCATCAAGGAACACTCGTCAGCATGATGAAAGACCAGAGCATTCACTTCCTGTAATTTCGTCCTCGACCATATTTAAGATTAAAGAGCTTGTCCTAAGCCTGCTATTTAATGTTGATCCCAGTTTCATAGTCACAAACAGCATATCTACACATCGCTGTATACAGCTTCAAAATTGTAGTTTTAAATTAGTGAATTGGAATGGTACTCATGACTCACCGTTGGGTTAAACACTAGCGAGCATGATATAATTGAACTGGCGAACAATTACCATCAATTTTTTTAAACAACGAAATGATATTCCATTGGTCCCATTCGGCTAACTGTGCCGAAGGTGTTTGTCAGTTCGACAAATGTCGTTACAGGTTGGAGTTCTTTTCCAGGAATTTCTCATGGAGTTAGCTAGCTGTAGATTCAATTTATATGGTCCAGTGTTCTTTCCTGAAGCCTGAGACTTTCGGGTAAGATCCCATAAGCAATGTAATGCACAGGGTGATTTAACCAATCATTTTCACTGTTACTGACCGATAGCTGATGCAGGATTACATGTTGTCTTTCTACGTGTACAGGTAGAAAACGAGAGCTTCATTGAATTCATTGGAATAGATCCATGAGGCCACATTGACTGGAAGAATTTGCGTAATTTCTGTGCCATGTGTGTGCTTTAGAATTTGTAGACTTCTGCTAGTAAAGAATCTGCTGCTTGGACATTTAACAGCATGTCAATTGCTTTCTTTTTTAATCAGAGTTTAGGGATATAGTTTGATTTCCACTTTAAGCAGTCGATCAGTTCTTTTCTCACTGGTGGATATTTGTTGATAGAAGATGTTATTGAATTATACTGCACCTTTTTGTGGCATCATTTCTTTGTTAGTTTGCCGTGTGATGCCTTCAGCAATTAGTATTTTTATTTCTGATGATATTCATAGACGTTCTTTGCATCATTCTTGTATGAAAAAGAATTTCATTTGCCTCGTTGCTCAGAAAAGAGCTTGCGTTATATAGACCTCTTGATGTTTTCGTAATGTTGCCTTAACTAGATGGTAAGGTGCTGCCGTCTAATTAGGCCTTTCGAAACCGATGTTCCTCAGTCAGTAGTCTTCATGTGGCAGCACTGTTCTCGTCAAACCAATCGTGATTCTCATGCGTGGTGAAGCTGTGAATTTTGCATGCAACTGAGTAGACAGTCTCTGAAGGATGCCCAGTTCTACACGACGTTCGCATCAGTTGTTAAAGTGCCGTGTAACATTATTTAATAAACTACTGTTTGATAGTCTCATGTTTCTGTTTGGGGACCTTAAAATTTCCTTTACCCTTTTAACCAAATGCTAGGCATAATCTGGATATTGAGCGTGGAGATTGAATCTGTGCTCATCCAACATTCCGCACTTCACATGACTTTTGTCAAAAATACGTCTTGTAGCTTTCTTCTCCTGTCGAAGACGTAGTCGTTGAGGTGCCAGTGCTTTGAGAGCGGGTCATCCAAATCGTCTTATTGCGGTTTGGCAAGCGGAAGACTGTGTTGGTGATTTTCTCAATAGGCGTACGTTCTTGTTGCATTCGCCAATACCATTTCTATGCATGATTATCTAGGTCAGCTGTTACATAGAGGTCACAAAGAATGGTGTGCTTCTACTTTCAGAACTTCTGCGATAACAGACTCTGTCTCATTTAAATTGTCCCTGATCTCATCTGGTTTTGTCATGGTGGAAGCGCAGGCATTGGTGATATTTGTCTGACTTTGTCTTGACCAGTATCTCATTTGCAATATTCTGTCATTCACGCTACTGAGATTTGTGAGCTTGCTGACTAGCTGTGATTTAACGCCAAGCCAAAGACCACCTATACGTCGCTTGTATTTACCTATCCAGTCTAAAAGATATAGGCAGTTCCTACTTATGTGGTTTATCCTTCCTCTGCCAGTCGAGTTTCGCATAGGTCCGGTCTCTGAATTTTTATTTAGGCCAATTTTCTATCAATTAGAGCTGATGTCCTGTCCATTAGTGTACTCACAATATACACTGATGGTGAGTATCTTTGCTTCCTTGTTCAATTTTTGGCTTAAACTGTCGAATCACCGTCATCCGCTGTATACTGGCCAGAGTTAAGGTAAAACTGTCAATGCTTCCGATACCTTTTCTAGCCCATTGCTCATGCTTCAGAGATGAACCGTGTTGCTCAGCCACCTATTGGTTTGCAGAGTAATGGGCACGTCTTCAGCTAAAACTCTTCAGATTAATTCTGAAAATTTATATATACTGGTTTGAGGGAAGTTCAGAATAACCGCTTTTATCATCCGTGATTTCTTCTAGCATGCTATCGAAAAGCTAAGAACATTCCAATATGCATTTGCAAACACAGATTTCATAATAACACGTTGTGTAGGGAAACAATACCAAATTTCCTTGACTATCAATTTTCAGATTTAATTTGAACAAGAATTACAGCTAGTGTGTCATGTAAGAATTGAATCGTAATGTGTGCTAATTATCATTAAAGAATAAATGATAATAGTCCAACCTATATAAATATCGTGATAATTAAACTTCCGTAGCATAACATTTATCAAGATTAAACTTATATTTACACTTATATATCCTTGATACAAGTTCCTGGGCAGAGAAAACTATATGATTAAATGCCTGTGTTCGAATAGTTTTCATATTATAATTTGCAAAAAGACTGGAATTCCATCAATAAAATATTATCTCCATATTTACATTTACAGTTAGGATAAGGACTCGAAATATTCATTTTGCTAACACTTCACTTTCATTATCAGCCTATCCTGGTCAACTAGAAGCATATATACTATATGTTGTGTTAACCCATTTCAAGTCTGGTTCCCATATAACCCTATATCCACCCTTCATGTACTTCACACAATTATTTATCTTATCAAAATGCATCAGCAGCCAGTGCATAGAGTTCTGTTTGTCAAATGTCGCAATAGTAAATATTAAATTATATTGCAAATTAACGTAAACTAACAAAAGCAATGTTGATCAAGAGTTATGTTGTTTGGTTTGCTATCATCTTTTCCTATTCATTTAAAGACTGAAATATATTATCCGCCTTGACAAACTATGCAATAAAAGAGTAACAAGCAAATTCGACCATAAATATATGATTATATTACTTCAGGAAAGAAGATTTTTAAATGGTAGAAAGAACTTAAAATTCCTCCTGAATAAATTAAATCTTAGACTAAGGTCGCATAAACCAATTAAAATACGAAATATGAAGTTCCAAAACATTCACTGAATGAAATGTTTGGTTCCACAAACTCATTAGGGGTGATCAGCATTAAGTATAGTGCTAGAGACCTAAGTAATTATATTTGACGCACAATCCTTCAAAAAAGACTAGAAATATCAAACACGTGGTTATAAGTACATAATGGAAGATTTTCCTTATTTTATATTTTTATTGCATAGATATTAGCTAACATGCAAAACAACCCTTCTTGTATAGTCAAATCTGCGTTCTCCATACACTGCATAGCAGTGTCTTTAATAGCACTGCATAGCAGTCTCTTTAATATTACTGCATAGCAGTGTCTTTAATATCACTGCACAGCAATGTCTTTAATATCACTGCATAGAAGTGTCTTTAATATCACTGCATAGCAGTGTCTTTAATATAGTTGCATATCAACGTCATTAACATCACTGCATAGCAATGTCTTTAATAGCACTGCATAGCAATGTCTTTAATATCACTGCATAGCAGTGTCTTTAATATTACTGCATATCAGTGTCTTTAATATTACTGCATAGCGGTGTCTTTAATATCACTGCATAGCAATGTCTTTAATATCACTGCATAGCAGTGTCTTTAATATAGTTGCATATCAACGTCATTAACATCACTGCATAGCAATGTCTTTAATAGCACTGCATAGCAATGTCTTTAATATCACTGCATAGAAGTGTCTTTAATATCCTGCATATCAGTGTCTTTAATATTACTGCATAGCAGTGTCTTTAATATCACTGCATAGAAGTGTCTTTAATATTACTGCATATCAGTGTCTTTAATATTACAGCATAGCGGTGTCTTTAATATCACTGCATAGCAATGTCTTTAATATCACTGCATAGCAGTGTCTTTAATATAGTTGCATATCAACGTCATTAACATCACTGCATAGCAATGTCTTTAATAGCACTCCATAGCAATGTCTTTAATATCACAGCATAGAAGTGTCTTTAATATTCTGCATATCAGTGTCTTTAATATTACTGCATAGCAGTGTCTTTAATATCACTGCATAGAAGTGTCTTTAATATTACTGCATATCAGTGTCTTTAATATTACTGCATAGCAGTCTCTTTAATATCACTGCATAGTAATGTCTTTAATATCACTGCATAGCAGTGTCCCTAATATCACTGCATAGCAATGTCTTTAATGTCACTGCATAGCAGTGTCCTTAATATCCCACTGAAAATCATTCTTAGGTAAATGAGGTATTCAATTTGTTTGTTATCCGCAAATTGAACCAGAATTCTGCTTCAATGGAAATTTAATTGTCCATGAATATGTGGAATTTCTGCAAGGCTATCGTTCTCTATAGGACTAACGGTACCAATTCAGTTCCCATGGCAAACCTACCGGAGTATCATAACATTAAAAATTAAATAACATTATTTTTTCAGAATCCTTAT